TTCTTCTTCTTCTTCTTCTTCTTCTTCTCAGATTCAACTACACCAGTAAATATACATACATAAAAAAGAGAGAGAGACGAAAAGTTGGTCGCCCTGATTAACAGTTTATTAAAATATCTGGGTGAATTTTCACAGAGAAAAGAGAGAGGTGTAATTGGGTTGTATGATATGAATTGTACATATTGATAATTTCTTATTTTTTATTCTTGATTTGATTACTGTTTTATTGAATTTTGGGTTACTTGAATTAGCCAATTGGTGCTTGTGAAGTGAAAGATTTGATCTGTTGGATCTGTTGCTTCAGGTGGTTTTCTGAGTTGTGTGAAGATTTGTAATGGTTTTTGCTTAAATTAAGCAACTTTTAGCTAAAAAAGAGCAGAATGTCCTGGAAGAGTAAAGGAGTGGAGTCAACTTCGAAGAATGTTGTTTCAAGAAAATTCACTATTTTTCTCTGTATTGGATGCTTCTGTGCTGGGATGCTCTTCACTGACAGGTTTGATTTCTTGATTTTCCTTTCAATTTCTTGGTAAACTAGTTCATTTTGATCATCTGGCCATCGAAATTCTTACTGAATTACTTGAATTTGATCGACTTAATTTAATGTAGGTTCTTGATATAGGTCTGTGTTTTGATAATTGACACTTATGATGGTCATGATAGTAAAATTACGTAATTGGTTATCAAAGAAATGCTGGTGTTCAATGTATTGGATTAGGTTATGATCTATAAGTCAAATGATAAATTCTTAAGTTTGCTATGCTGGAAAAGCTTCCCTTTTCGGGGTTCTGTTTGGGAAACTTTAGAAATTTGATTTAGCTCTCGAGTCCTAACTCCTTCAATTAAAATTGCGAGTTCCAGGTTAAAATTTTATTCTCCATGAGAAATTCTCGTAATGGTATTACCAAAACTAGTATCATGTGAAACTGCAAATGCTGACATAAAATCTTAATAGCACCTAAAAGAATTAGACAACATATAAGCTTATAATGTTACCGTATATCTTGATTGTTCTCCCGAGTTCTGCATTCTCCC